TGCGGGCTCGATCCCTGGCCCTGGTCAGGGTGTGTGCCTGCGGGAGGCAACCAATCTCACATAGATGTTTCTCTCTCTCTTCTCCCTCCCTTCCACACTTTCTAAAAATCAATGGGAACATATCTTTGGGTGAGGAATGAATGAATGAATGAACGAATGAATAGTTTATATTCTCATATTGAAAGTATATGAGCTTGACACCAGTGAAGTTATACTATTTGCCATTATGAGTCATTGCTTGTTCTTAGCCTCAGATAGCTTGCCACAAGACACAGCTGGAATATCAAGTTTCTCAATGGCTGTGTTGCTTAAGACACATGAATGAGATAATGGCAGTTTCATTCACTCATTTTTTTAAACAACCATTTTTGAAACACATACAAGAGACAGTCTTAGCAATGAATTAAAAGATAAGGAAAACCATAATTACTGCCCTCAAGGAGCTCATGGTCTAGTACAATGGTTTCCAAAACATTTTTTGCTTAAAACATTTTTTGAGCCTATAGCTTTGATATATATATTTATTTATTCATAAATTCTATACATAGACTATCATGTTAATACTTAAAAACATGTCAAGATAGAAATTTTTAAAGGATGAGAAAAAATTTAAGTAGAAGCCCTGACTATCCACCTGGATGAAAATAAAATTGTATCCATATCCATCATTTAGCAAAATAAATAAATTCCAGATGGATTAAAAACTCAATTGTAAAAAAAATATTTTAAAAATCCTTTCAGAAAAATCTTGGTTACTACATGCAACAAGAAGTAGGGGAGACCTTAAATAAGACTGGAAACCCAGAAGTTAAAAAAGAAAGAAATGCACATATTTGACTTGTTTTAAAGAAAAATTTTTTGTATGGCAAAAAGATGTATAAGCAATGTCAATAGAAAGTAGGTTTGAGGTAAATCTGCAACTCATTGGGCAGATAGAAGGTCAGGAAAAGAGTGAGGAATAAAATGGAGTCACTATGGTTAACCTGCTAAATTACTAAAACCAAGTAAGCTGAGGCATGAGGAAATTATTCTAATTGAAGATTATATAGGGTGTCCCAAAATTCACTCAACAAGTAATTTTGATAGAAAACACAGGTTTATAATTAAAAATTGTAAATTTTTTATTGATTTGTAAAGTATACAGTATAGGGTTATGTATGGAATAGCACATCGGGTAAATGGCCTCCACGGTTTTGCTGGCACATACGCAAAGCCATGGTCTTCATTGGTCTTCATTGTCCCTGCTCCTGGGCCATAATTGGTACTTGGTAATGCTTATCAAATTGAAGGGATTGAAATCAAAGGGCAACAGATATTAGAATCTGATTCAATAAACCAAGGAAAATTAGGCTTTTATTTGTTGTTGTTGTTAATGCTCATGCAAAATTCAAATCTTGCGTGAATTTTGGGACACCCTATATATACATCTCCTATAGATAACTCTCTGAAGAATATAGGAAAGAATGTTTACACATCTAGAGCACCTGTTATCCATTTTCCAGACCACTGGTCTTCTGGAAGGTTACCATCTCAGAACAATCCAGAGGCTAAGGATGCAGGACTGTCTTCTCAAGAATGTACTTTTTACTACAAGAACTCTCAGCTTTTCTTTCTTCTTCACAACATTCTTGGTATTGCCTAGTTGTGTTTATGATTTGAAAATCCTAAGACACTTGACTAAATCTTTATCATTTAGTTCTAGCCAAAGCCTCTTTATTCTTTGTGCTCTGTTGAAAAGTGTAACATTCAAAAATCAATTACAAATTGTCAAGAAGGGAATAAATAACCCTATAGAAATTGGGTAAAGAATATAAATTGGGCCCAGCTAGTATGGCTCAATGTTTTTTTGTGTTGATGTATGAACATGGAGATCACGTTTTGATTCCCGATCAGGGCACATGTCTGGGTTGCAGGCCTCATCCCCAGTGTGGGGTGTGCAGGATGCATCTGATCAGTGATTCTCTCTTATCATTGATGTTTCTATCTCTCTCTCTCCCTTCCTCTCTGAAATCAATAAAAATATATTTAAAAAAAACAAAAAACAAAACAGAGACCAAGATACCTGCCTTCCAAGACTGCTGTGGGAATTAAATAAAATAGTGTAAGAGCACATAGCTCAGTGCTAGAAAAGATGCCTAGAAGATATTCCATAAATGTACATTTATCCCCACTTCTCTCTGTATAAGAATCTGCTATCCAGAAAAGATCTGATAAAAGCTAATTTATAATGATAAAATTTGTAAGTGCTTACTGATCCTGGTGGTGGGGGATAAAGAAAAGAAACATCTTTAGAGGATTTGAAAATTGGTAAATAAAGAGAATCAAACCAAGCATTATACTTATCTTTCTTTCTAGTATATGTACTATACTTCAGAGTAACAAAATAGGTGATGTGGGATAATTATTCTTATTCTGAAAACTGGTAAATATTAAGAAACAAGCATCCAACATGCTTTTCTTTACATTCCGCAAGGTAACCAAATAACTAATAGGAAAGATAGAATATCACCATTTTGCAAACGCTTAATGAGATCATGGATGTAGGCAATGATCACTAATAGCCATTAATGTTACAAAAAGAGAAACACATGAACATTATGTAGCTTTTGATGGAAGTATACACCACTACCTATGAAAGTATTCTAGCAAAAAATTTAACCTGGATCAAATCAAGCCTTTATAGCTAACTACCAGTTTACAGAAAATAAGAGATGAAGGAATTTGTTAAATGGCACCATAGGAATGTATTCAGTAAAATCCTGAATGTGGGAAATTTCTATAGGACAGAAATCTGTTTCTTTTTCAAAATAAAACAAAAAAGGGTGGGAAGGGGGTTATGTAAATAAAATATATTTCAGAGATATTCACCAAACGTGATGTGTAGCTCTTTTTAATATTCTGATTCAAAGAAACCAACTGTAAAAAAAGTAAACAATAAAGGGAGAGGGAATGGGGACATCAGTAATAGTGTCAACAATAAAAATAAAGAAAAAAAATAAATGAGACACCCAAGTAAATCTGAACACTGAATTGATGATATTAAGAAACATTATGATCAATATTTTAGGCCTGATAATGACACTATAGTTATGTTTTTTAAAAAGACTCCTTAAAAAAAACACACAAAAAAACCTCCTTAACTTCGAGTGATACATACTGAAATATTTATGGTTGAAATGACATGCCTGAGATTCACTTCAAAAGAATCAAAAGGTTTGACTGTATGAGGCGCCTGGGGGTTTATTCTCCAGCATCTCCAAAGCAAACAAACAAAATGAATGAAAGAGGCCTGGAGAGGGTATGGATAGAACCAGTAGCTATGTGTTGCTGATTGTTGAAGCTGTATGATGGACACATAAGGATTCATTGCATAGGCTTTTTACTTTTGTGTATGTTTGACATTTCCCGTAATTATAATTTAAAAAATAAAACCTAATTTAAAAACATTAAAACAAAAGAGTTCTGCAGGTCAGGGTATATCCCAAGAACTGGTTTATAGAAAGAAATGTCACAGTCTCTGGAAGGCAGTGATCTTTTCACCTATTTGCATATACATATTTTTGGATATACATCAGATCACTTTGTACACTGAACTGAGAAGAAAAAAAATAGAACAACCAAGTATACTCAACACTACATGATTAAATCAAATAGCTCAACAATTTTTCGCTGGGCACCATGGTAAACATATTCACATTCATTTGCACTGAGATTTACATGACTCAAGTGGATTTAAAAGTTCTCTCTCTCTCTCTCTCTCTCTCTCTCTCTCTCTCTCTCTCTCTCTCAACATTATCTGCCTTTAATAGTGATCAGACCTTGAAGCCAATGGATCTGAACTATTAGGCATTTAGCTGCATGTTTGAACTTTCACCTCATGTGAGATGATATTGGCCCATCAATTAGTCCTGTAGCTGAAATCCTCTCCCAGACATATCCAGCCCCGCCTTGTCTTAAAGCACCCCTCACACGGGCACTTCACTGCTCTCCCCAATGGTCTTTTACCAGCTAGGTTTTCCTGAATTTTAACTCAGGACCATCTGAGGCCCATTCCAGTGTGTTATCTTTTCTACAGACAGGCAATCAGAGCTGGAGAAAAAGCAGAACTAAAGAGAAAGGGTCTGGATTTCTAAGGAAGACACTGTGTATGATTCGAAGATTATTACCTACCTCACCAAATGGGATTGTCATTAAACCTAACATGAGAAGCAGGCTGATGGATACATCTGGGCATTTGTCCTCTACTTTACCACTGGATCACAATGACGTGATCTGACTGTATGTCCTTCACAGCTATTATTTATAGGGCTCTTGTGCTAAGTCAGGCATTGCCTTTAGTATTTTACATCAGTCCTCAGGGCCACCTTTGAGGTGGCTATTTTCCCCACTGAGCACATCAGAAAATTGAGACCAAGGGAGGTTGATTGGTTTGCCCAAGGCCACACAGCTGGTATGTGGCAGAGGCATAACTGAACTTGGGTCTGACTTGGAAACAGAATTTCTACAACAGAATTAAGCTTCACTGTCTACCAACATGAACAAATGGGAACCAGACCTTTTGTTAAATCTCTACAAGGAAGCTGGCCCACAATGGGCCTTGATCACCTAATATACTAGCCTAATGTACACTTAATAATGGATAAATCTCTTGCTTAAATAATGGCATTATAGTCCTTTAATTTCCAGTTAGCAATCTGGAAGCATAGAAAGGTCAAGGGACTTTTTCAAGGCCACAAAGTGAATGAAAGCTCTGATTCTTTTCCTCTATTCAGTAAATACTCCAGCTAGCAGATGAAGTTACAGTCATTCTGGATTCTGCCAAGAAAGCTGAGCCATTAATTTGGGTAAAGAAGTCCAGGATCAGATACACTAAAAAGAATAATAAAGTCTATTTTTTTTTCTAAAATCTGCAAATGGGTTGCTTTTAATCTTCTATATTTGTTTCCAAAAGTTAGCTATGCATAATAACAATCACCTTAGGTTCTAGGAAGAGGCCTGGATTTATGTATTTTTTCAAACATTTTTATTGATTTTTAGAGTGAGAGGGAGATGGAGAGAAATAACCATGTGAGAGTGAAGCGTCCATCGGCTGCCTCCTACAAATCCTCCACCGGGGACCGAGCCTGCAACCCGGGCATGTGCCCCAATCGGGAATCAAACCAACAATCAACTGGGCCACACCAGGCAGGGCTGGGCTTATGTATTTTCCAACAAGCTTCAAAGTATATTTAAGAACCACGGATCTTGTGTCAGAGATGGAAATCATATCAGCTGTCCATTATTTCCTAACAAATTACTAAAAAAAGGTAGCAGCTTGCCACAACAGTCATTTATTATGTCAAATCTTCTGTGTATGAGGAATCCACGTGCAGCTTAGCTGGATATCTCTGGCTCAGGGCCTTCCACAAGGCTGCAATCAAGGTGTCAGTTGGGCTGCAGTCATCTGAAAGCACACGTGGGGGAGGATCTTTCTCCAAATTCACTCACATGGCTGTGAGCAGGATTCAGTTTCTCACAGGCTGCTGGACATAGGATCTTGTGAATACCAGAAGGAAGCGACCATTGGTGGCCCTCTCAGATGCTGCCTATCACAGGAATATAAACAGAGAATGGAAACACAAACTGGTAATATATTTCCCAGCTCTGCGTACTGACAGGCTAGCTTCAACGAGCACACCCCATGCCTGGACCTCCCACTCACCCCTTTCTGATGTGTTCCCCGAGCCCCTGGGCAGGCAGGGTTAGCTTCCAGGCTCCCTCTCTCCATACCTTCATGATAACGTTTGGTTATATATGTTAAATTTGTATTTCTATCTCCCTGTTAGCCTGTAGGTTCACGGAGGGTGTGGTTCACGGCTTTAAAAAAAAAATGTTTGTACTGTCATAGTGGGCCCCCCAATAGCCCTTGTTGAGTAAATGAATCGGTGTTTTTGCTGGAAGAGGAAAGCCCTCGCCAGGGGGAGACTTGGGAGCCAGTATCCAGAAGGAGAGCGCGGGTGCCTGCCCGGTGACCTCTGGTATCAGTTACAATGGGAGGGTGAGTGACACAGCCAATCAGCAACAGCCTTTGAAGGGCCGTACATAGGACAGATCGGTTTCTGCCCCTACACAGGGCTCTTTTATCAGGCCTTCACACTCGTTACTATATGTTCAGGACAAAATTATTTGAAATCCAGCGTGTCCTAGAATATTATTAAAAAGCAGGTGTCCCAATGAGTCAGCGTAAGCAGATGCTGGAACTGAAGATGGTAAACTGAAATCCTCACCCACCAGGCACTTTGTGGGACCCCGCATCCTCATGCTCCCTAAACACAAACGCACCGCAGATGGGAGGTCCGTAGAGGCCAAAGATCTCCCGCGTGCACGCCAGTCTACAGCGGGGGATGAAAGGGCTCAACATACGTTAGGACAACAAGGGCTTACATCTCACAGCTTCTTTCAAGGCATGCCGCGCTCTAGGCTACATTCAGAATGTGGGTCGCCCCGCACACCTGGAGCCTGAAGTTTACAAACAAAGTACTTCCCGGGGCGGAGCAGTGAGGCCACAAAGCGATGTCCGAGAGAAAGAAAGCGCCCGCATTCAGCCGAGCCCCGCGCGCATGCGTACAATGGCTACGAGCGGCGTCCGCCGGCGCGTGGGGCGGCACCCGAGCCTTCCGCTCTGAGCCCGGGGCCCGCCTCCGGGCCGGAGGAAGCCGCCGATTGGTCAGTCCGCCCGTGGCTTGGGGAGGAGATTGGGTGATTGGCAGCAACGTCCTGGGACCGCCAAGCTGGAAGCCGGAGGAGCAGAGGAAGACGCCTGGCTGCCTCGCGGCGGAGGTAAGGGGGACTGGGGACTTGGGGGGACGGTTAGCGTCGGGGCGAGGAGGCGCCCCCGGGCCTCGCGGCGGTGGGAAGCCCTGGTAACAGGGCAGCAGCGGAAGGAGCGGGGTTCGGGCTTGCGGGGAGGCTGGCGGCTTCGGGGGCCGGTTGGGTGGCTGCGCGGCGGCTGAAGGGAAGCGGCGAGGTTGCCGGCAGCCGGGGCAGCGGAGGGCCGGGAGGGGCTGGAGCTTTGGCGGAGCGGAGGGAAGTCAGCAGACTTGCCCCGAAGGCTGGGACTCGCCCACCCGTGTACCCCATATCTGCCCCCTCCCCCGCCCTCGGAGCCCGTCTTTCGCTCGCTCGCTCGCTCACCGCCAGGGGGCGGCCCCGTCGAGTGTCGCGCCTTTCCCGGGACGGGTCGGGCGGGCGGCGTCGGCGGCCGCGAGCGCCGTCGGCTTGGATCATCCCCGGGGAGGGGGGAGGCTGGTCCCGGGGAGCGTCGGCGCCTCCCTGACGTGGCGGTGTTTGAGTGTCCCGCCCAGAACTTCCCCGCGAATCTTCCTGTGACCGGGATTTACATTAAACCGGAAAGAAAGGGCCGACCTTTGGACGCGTCAAAACACATTTTCTGATGGGACTCTTCCCACGAAGCCGAGAGGATGGTGTGAAGCGCTGGGCGTGCCCGTCACCCCGCTCCGTCCGTGACCCGTCGGCGGCCGGACTTGGCCCTCCTCCCCGGGTTAATTGGAAGCATGTCCCCTCAGACACATCATTTCATCTCCGTTACATCGTCCCACGGCTTCGCGGGGGTCAGGGATGACGCCTCCCGAGGGTTGTGCGAAACCAGGCACACGTGAAGGTGCGGACAGCGCCAAGTTAGTTGGTGCGACAGGAATGTGGGCGAGTTCTCCCACCGGGCAGACTTGGACTATTCTCTGCTCAGATTTTGCAAAATCACGGAAAACAAAGGTACCCAATAATCTAGTCTTGACAGTCGCATTATTGGTTTGGGGCGCCAAGAACAGTACTAATAGCCCTGACCGGTTTGGCTCAGTGGCTAGAGCATCGGCCTGCGGGCTGAAGGGTCCCAGGTTCGATTCCGGTCAAGGGCAGGAGGCAGCTGATTGATGTTTCTCTCATCCATGTTTCTAACTCTCTATCCCTCTCCCTTCCTCTCTGTAAAAAATCAACAAAACATATTTTAAAAAAAAGAATACAGTGGGGCCTTGACTTACGAGTGTCCCGACTAACGAGTTTTTTGAGACACTAGCTGTGTCTCAGCCGTTGTATCTCAGGCGATTTTTTGCATTGAATTGATAGAGTAATTTGAGTTAACGAGCTCCTTAACGAGCTCGGTCGTAAGTCAAGACCCCACTGTAGTACTAATAATTTGCATTTAAGGAGCTCTTGATAGGTATGAAAAGCACTCTGAAATGGTTTCACCTGTTCGTTTAATTTTTACCACAGCCGCATGAAGTACGCATTTCATTTTACAGAGAAGGGGAAAAGGCTTAGAGAGGTTAAGCAGTTTGCTTAAGGTCATTCCTGATGTAAGGGGGTGGGGCACACCTGGGATGTAGGATGCTAAACCTGGTCACGGCAACGTCCTGGCTCTTTTAACCATAGTTGAATGACTTAAGAATTGTAGAGCAATGTAACTGTGGAAAATTATTTTCATTGAGTTACAAATCCATAATGGGGGATGTGGGGGGGCGGGGAACCCTGGAAATTTACATGAGTACAATAGCAGTATAGGCATTTTGGTTTCTTTGAAACTGTAAAATGTTAATACAATTGAATTTGAAGTTATGAGCAACATATATAGGTGTAGTTCAGTAAGTACAAGTGTTTGTTTTTTCCCCTCAATTGTATATGCCAGTAAAAGGGGCATGGGAAAGGGGTAAAAATATGTACATCAGTGAATAGTCTCTACTTTCTTTTGGCACTTAGCATATATTGGCTATTTATTCTGAATACTTTCATCTGTATCCCTCATCTTTCCAATCTTCTAAGACAGAATCTTCACCCAAACAATGTTAGAGGAGTAAGGAATTAGATACAGCTGGTCATATTCAGAGGGCTGTAGAGAAGACCTGTAGAATTGGAGTTTAGGATTCCTACTGTAGGGGAGTAATGCAGAAGTCTAGAAGTCAGATTAGGAACTTGAGCAAAGAAGTGACATGATAACAGTAACCTCCCCCGAGAAGTGAGTTTGACCTGGTGCATATAAAATAAATTGATGTGGGTAACTGGTGAACTTATTCTAAGCAAAGGAATGGAGGGGGGAAAAAACCAGTCTGAAAAAGAGAAGAAAAGACAGCATGATACAGTGCAGGAATTTCTGAAATCCTGGTAAATTTTATTTTCCATAGGTTTGCTTTCTTGGGCAGTCTTGGTGATGAGTATTATTACCGTAACACGGCTCTTTGAAATGCTAACTCCTGCTCTGCTATTTAAGTGTTCTTTTATATGTTTATTGTGTGCTATTGATACAAATTACACAAGTTAGGTAAGCAACAAAAATGATACTGTAATCCCATCATTTAAGGATAAACCATTAACCATTTCTAGCAGGGGTCCTCAAACTACGGCCCACGGGCCACATGCAAATACAAATATTGTATTTGTTCCCGTTTTGTTTTTTTACTTCAAAATAAGATATGTGCAGTGTGCATAGGAATTTGTTCATAGTTTTTTTTTTTAAACTATAGTCCGGCCCTCCAACGGTCTGAGGGACAGTGAACTGGCCCCCTGTTTAAAAACTTTGAGGACCCCTGCTCTAGTCACTATGCTAGTGTATGCTGTAGACTAGGGTTTGGCAAACTGATCTGAGGCCTAAACTGACCAGAGGCCTGCTTTTGTTAGATATTTTTGTTTCTTTTCTAATTTGAAACAATTATAATATTTGAGAGGAGAGCTTTTTTTCTTTTTTAAAAATATATTTGTATTGATTTCAGAGAGGAAGGGAGAGGGAGAGATAAAATGAAACATCAATGATGAGAGAGTCATTGATTGGCTGCCTCCTGCACGCCCCACACTGGGGATCGAGCCCACAACCCGAGTATGTGCCCTTGACTTGACTCGAACATGGGATCTTTCACTCTGCCCGCTGAGCCAAACCAGCTAGGGCAAGAGGACAGGTTTTTCTATTCAGATTTTTGTGTGTCAGGTTATTTACGACAAATTTCTAGAAGTGAAATTGCTTTTATGTACATACTAGAGTCCCGGTGCACGAAATTCTTGCATGGGTGGGGTCCCTAGGCCTGGCCAGCGATCAGGACCAATTGGGGCCTTCCGGCAGCCGGGGCCTTCCTTTGTTTTGTGCCACCCCCTGGTGGTCAGCACATGTCATAGCGAGCGATTGAACTCCCAGTTTCCCAGTCAGGCTCTCGAGGGGACACTTTGTATATTAGCCTTTTATATATACAGTAGGTCCTTGGGTTACGTCGGAGATCCGTTCCTACAGTGTGATGTAACGTGATTTTCACCATAAGTTGGAACCCAACTACATAAGCACCTACGTCACATGGAACACATACACAGCAGTAATGAAGTGAAACAGCAAAAAAAATTTAAAAGATAACAATTCCTGACCTTTACTTGTGGTAAATAAATAATAAAAACATAAAGCACATATGTACATACGTTAAAATGCCGGAATTTTTTTTTTTTAATAAATGGAGATGGCAATGTAACCACGAAACGAACATACATTGAGTCCGAAGTAACCCGAGCACCGTCTTTATAGATTGTTAGGTTGCCCACCAGAAAGGTTGTACTTTGTCCATGCCTTTACCAATATTGAGGTGTCTCCCTTATCATCTTTGCCAGTTTGGTGGGGGAAAAAGAGATACATTTTAATTAACATTTCTTTGGTTAGTAGTGAGATCACTAAACATATTTATTGTCTATTTGTGCTTCCACTTATAAAATGCCTGCTCGTGTCTTTTTCCTTTTCCCATTGGGTTTCTGGTCTTTTACTTTTTGATTTGCAAGTACTTTATAAACATTAGGGATAATAATTATTTGTTTTGTGCAAGTGGCAAGTGGGTTTCTCCATCGCTCACCTATTTTCTCTTAAATGCTGCATAATGGCTAATAAATTTTGTGTATCAGCTAGGAGAGCACTCAGGGCTGCAGTTTTTGGGACCAGCACATGCCATCTCTGAAACAGTTCCTTTATTTATGATACTGAAGTTGTTGCCATCCAGTCAATCTGCAAGTCACTATTACCAAACAAGTTGTATTATATAAATTGATATTATTTAATTAATTTCTACAACTGGATGTGACTATTATAAGTTGGTACATTAAGATATTAGAAGTCAGACAACTTAAGTAGGAAGTTATATCAAATTAAATCTCCATTACTGCAAAAAATAAAAATTGTAAATCTTTAATATATAACTATCTATGCTAATAAAAGGGTAATATGCTAATTAGATTGGACATCTTCTGGACGTCCTTCCGGTCAAAGCCATGGTGGTGGGGGCTGAGGCAGAGGCGGTTAGGGGCGATCAGGCTGGCTGGGGAGGTCAGTTAGGGGCAATCAGGCCGGCAGGGGAAGGCAGTTAGGGGGCGATCAGGCCAGCAGGCAGAGGTGGTTAGAGGCGATCAGGCCGGCAGGGGAGCAGTTAGGGGCATCAGGCCGGCAGGCAGAGGTGGTTAGGGTGATAGGCAGGCAGGCAGGCAGGTGAGTAGTTAGGAGCCAGAGGTCCCGGATTGTGAGAGGGATGTCCCTGAGGGTTCCCGGATTGGAGAGGGTGAAGGCCTGGCTGAGAC